GCCAGGCTTACAAAGAAATTTGTAAATTTCAACTCACCCTAAAGGCAGACACATATGTGAAGTGGAAATATTTATGCTGTTATAAGAGCACCAGTGCAGATTAAAAGGGAGAGGATTAGATTCCATCCCTTGATAGGGTGCGGCAAGTTCACATTTCAGAGGAACATGTGGAATGGGACATGTTGCTGTGGATATCTTTGGAAAATGCCATCTGCCACACATGGTTTGCTGCATAACCCAATTCTGAAGGTCAAAACTTAGTATAGCCTGTTGAGTGTTTTCTTTGTAATAAATTCTATTTCTCCTTGGGCATACAGATGCTTACAGAGGTCCCATGCAAAGAATTTTGTGTTCAAAAAGAAAAAAAAATACATTAAGTATTATTTTAAAACTACCACAAATGCATGCATAATTAAGATAAATTTATCAAAGAGTCACAGCCATGTCCTTATGGACAGAACTGGTTGGCTTTCTGGAACAGACGTAAGTTAATAAGTAAAGGGTATATAACAAACTTTTCTGTTGAATTAGTTTCTCTTAATTTTTTTATTTAAAAATTACTGAATAGAATTGATGTTTCTATATGCCTCAGATCTTACTAAATAGACAAAAAACAAAACATAGGAAAATACTGCCATTTTGAAATAAAATTTCTTTCCCTAAGAAACACGTAATTTGGTTAAAAAATGTTTAAGTCTGCGTAAGTTACTGTTTAGGAGGAAGTGTAACATGGCCTAAATTATAATCACTTTTATCCCATATAATAAAATTGAGCATCCTATTTAGAATAAATAGAGAAATTCCTCATCTCCATGGAATTTGTACAATAAAACTCATTCCCTGTTGTTTAATTGAGATATTTTGGAAAGATTAGCTGTTTTTTCAATTCTGACACTGCTAGGGTAAATATAGGTAATGTCATGAAAAATCATGCCTAAAGAATAATTACCGAAGATTCACTATTATTATGGGTAGATACGAGTTAAGGGAGGGATGATTAGGCAGTTATTAACAAACTCACCCATCATCTCTCACCCGTACTTTTATTAATGATTAAGAAGGATTTTGTTGATGAAAACGTATGAGACTGTGAGTTGCCTACTGAATTTGTCTGATTTGGGAAAGCAAACAAATATAAATAATCTGAACATGGAGAAAATTAGAGAGTCATTAGTTTAGATATGAAAAGCAACCATAATTAAAAATAAAAACAAAAATAATTAACTAATTCTTGAAGGGTTGGGGATAAAACAAGGTTGCCTCTGCACTGGCATCAGGGGAAACTCAAGAAGCTTCTTTCACGGCTCAATCATCTGCTCCACTGATGGTTGATTGCAACCCTTAGTACTCCAGAGCAAGAGCAGCCCTGTAGGCCTGTGCAGACCGACCATAGCCCAGATCAGCGGGGCACCCTGTTTTCTGGGCATCTGACTATGTTCGATTCTGTACCGTTTCTAATTGTCTCATTTATAAATGTTGTCAAACCAATTCCCGAGTTCAAAGAGCAGCCATTCTGTACCAGTTGGTCAACACCGAGAACAAATAATCGATAACTTTGACTTGTCAAGATGGAAGCATGTCAGATACAATGACAAACAGATGGGAATATCAAAACAGTGGCATCTCTAAACTTCTTTAAGAGTCACTTCTTTTTCTAAGTGTCCTTGGGGCATATTCCAGAGCCTGGGCTAAAATCTCAAGTAGCTGATAGTAACCAGGCACAATCCCCAGCCTTAATTAGGCAAAACCAAACAGAATTCAGTCTTCCTTGACTTCCTTGTCCATGTACGTCCTGCTCAGGGAGCTGGGGGCCAGGTGCTGTGCTGCAGAGGAATGTCTGGAGCACAAAGTGAGGTGGTCCAGGAGCTAACAGTGTGTTCCTCAACGTGATGATGTAGGACAGCAGTGAAAAACTGAAACATTCTGTTTGTTGTTTGGTTTTCCTTTATTCTCAGCCACCTCAGTGTTGGGTTACAGACATGTGACACAATGCCCAGCTTCATTGGATATCTTTTGAGATAGTATTTTTCAATACATAATCCTAGGGTTGGGGCTTTAGCTCAGTGGTCCTAGCTCTTGCCTGGTAAGCACAAGGTTGTAAGTTCAATCCCAGGTACCAAAAAAACATAATCCTGAGATCATCATAAAAATCACATAGAATGAAGGTTAAAAGTTTAGAATCCTGGGCTTATCCCAGACAATTTGAATTGAAATATCTGAGGTAGACCCCAGGAATTCACATAATTGACAAGTTTCAACTGATTCCTAATATAACTAATGTATAAAAACCAGTGTTTCAGGTCATTGGGTCTTTTCTGCACTTGATTGCGTTTTGTTAATGATTTTAGATTGTTATTGCAGTGCAATTAATCAAGTGGTTTTGCATAGAGTTGCTCATCAAAGTTCAAGTAATCAGAAATTTTGGATTTTGGCAACTCAAATTATTTTCTTCTTTGAAAATTCAGATCATCTGTCCACACAGGTTTGCTTTCATGCATGATGAGGAACAGCCAGGGTTATATGATCTCCTAGGGATAGGACCTAGGCAACTGAGTTGAAAATAATCCTCAGGGGACAGTCCTATCTTCACGCTTAGCTGACTGGACCTTGCAGAAATGTACATTTTTTTACCCCTGGTTAACAGTCTTCTGGGCACTGCATGAGGGAGGAACACAGGCCTCTGAAAAATCAGACGTTTCTGGAAACTTCTTCTGAATAATTACCTCCATTTAAAATATAATTTAAAGTGGGTGTGGTGGTGCGTGCCTGTAATCCCTGCACTTGGGAAGCTGAAGCAGAAGGATCACTGAGTTTGAGGCCAGTCTGGGTTACACTGTCAGTTCAAGGCCCGCCTGAACTACATAGCAAGACCCTGTCTCAGAAAACAAAAAACAAAACAAATAAAATATAATTTAAGTTAGAAAAGCAGTAATTTTAATATGACAGATGGCCACTCTCTGCCTCAGGGTGGGAAAGTTTATGATCCTTGGAAGCTCAGCAAAGAGCCGCCAGCAAGATGTACAGTATGATTCCAGAATGCCATCATTGGGTATGTTGTCATACCTCTGTTTTGCTTTTTTACTTTTTGAGACAGGGTCTCACTGTGTAGTTCAGGGTATTCTTATGCATATGTTGATTAATCTTATCTCTATCAAAAACAATATGTAAAAAATTTCTCGAATTACAATATCAACCAAATTTTTAAGGATAAAAGGATAAAAATTATCCTTTTCTAACAATATATTTGTTTTTATATATTAGAACTTTACATAGAGACATATTTTTACACATTTTTATAATCAAAATACCATGCCTTGTACACTACTATTTTAATAACATCTTTTCAATTTCCATGTCTGAGTATTCCAAATATGATGAATAAATTGTAATGTGTAAGACTAATGGTTGAGGAATGTAAATCTTTCCTTTAACAACAATAACCAAATAATCTAGAAAGAACACAACAGCCAGAAGCTATAAAACAGTATTTTTCCATTCTTGGATCTAGGTCCTGACATTTGCAATGTGCTTTAAAACAAAAACAAAAAAAGAAAAACTTCCTGCCCACACTCAGTTTCTAAAGTGCTTTATTTTCAAAAACGTTCCTTAGCTGATCATCACCCTGGTTTTCACATAACTCCTGTCTCTGTGCATCCACGAAACATACCTTCTTCACTGGCAGTGAGTGCCAGTGATGTGGCTGCTATTAAACATTTCTCCAGCCATGTATAAAATGTGAATGAAATAAGTGTCCTCAAGGATTGCTGTGTGCAGTGTTGTTCTGAGCTGGCAGCCATGTATTAGCATTACATTAGAGCATGTACATTTCATCCTAGCAAAAAATATTATAGGCAGAATAATACCCCTCCTCCAAGTTACTTTTTCTCCTAAAACCTGGCATCTATGTATATGTTATTTCACCATGCAAAAAAGCACTTTGCAGATGTGGGTAAAGCCAAAGATCCTAGACAGAAAGATTGTTCTAGATTATTCTGGTGGGTCCTAAAAACAGTGGACCTTGACAGATGGTGGTCAGAGGGAGAATGGGTAAGAACATAGGTCAGATACATGTAGAGTTACTGACTCTTATGCAGCGAGAGAAAGAGAGAGAGAGAGAGAGAGAGAGAGAGAGAGAGAGAGAGAGAGAGTCTAAGTTGATGAATGTGGTTACCCTTGGAAATGTGAGAGCTGAGACACAGGATCTCTGCAAAACTTCCAGAGCAGAGCCCTACCAGTGCCTTGATTGATTTTTAACCTAAAGAGCTTGATCCAAGCTGAACTGCTAACTTAGAGAGCTGTAAAATAATGAACTTGTTCTCGTTAAGCTGCTATTTGTAGTAATTTGTTACAGTTGCAATAGAAAGTAACACAGCAGCTATCTTGAAACAGCATGTATCCCATGGCCCAAATTACTAGGAAATGATCAGTTCAGGTCTCATCAAACTGCTCAGACCATAGGAGCTTATTTTGGCAGGCACATTCAATGCTTATTGAATATGTATGTGTGATTTGCTCTTCCCAGCCCCTGGGCAGTTATGTAGGGTCATATGTTTTTCTCTGGCCAAGGGACTGTGAGTTTCAATCCATGTGTCATGCCCCAAGCTGAGACAATGGAAAGCTATGTGCCACCCTCCAACTCTGTTTGAGACTAGATCTTGCTGAATTGTCTAGGGAGGACTTGGACTTGTGCTCTTCCCAAAGTGCTACTTTAGGAAACAGTTTTGCATTTTATTGAGAGGCATTTTATTTTTCTGTCCTTGGTACTGCTAATATAGATGACATGCAGTCAAGTTAAGTTCACAATGTATGTAATAAAAATTGCTTTTTCTCAAAATATTTTATATTTAAGGTATTTTTTTTTTCAAGATCTTTATGAACTTTAACAAAATAGTGTTTATGAGCATCAAAAGGTGCAACTGAGAAGGAAAAGTAAACTCAGCCTTTGCTCCTTTGCTGGGAGAAAGAACCGGAATGCAAAAAAGTAAACCCAAAATAGTCTATTTGAAGTAGAATAATGCTTTAATATTTTCCATTTAATTATCCACAGTGATAATAGCAGTTCAACAAGAGCCAGAGATTACTCAGTCCCACTCTTTTGTTTCGTGGAAGGGAAAATTGAAAGCTAAAGAAATTAAGTAATGTATTCCAAGCAGCCAACAGAGGAGAAAGATAATTCCTAAGGACAAATCCAAGTGCAGGTAGAAAACTTGTATCATGTTAAGGGTATGTCAGATTTAAATGATTAAAAAAGCCCACATCTTAAAAAAAAAAATTTTATTGTGGTTAAATATTCATACTATTGACTTTACCATTTTCAAGTGAGCCATCAAGTGCATTCATATCTTGTGTAACTGCTGTGCCCTCTCCAGGAAACTGCTGCTGTCCTTTCTGTCCCTGAGTCTGTCCATTCCAGATATCTCCTACAAGTGGAATCACACAATAGTTGTGCTTTTGTGTTTGGCTGTTTCGCTTTCTATAATGTCAAGGTTCCAACATGTTTTAGTATGCAAAGCTATTGCACTATAATTTCTGAAAGCCGAGTATTCTGTTTAAATCTCTATCTCTCTAAGGGCATTAGGATTGTTTTGGTTGTTGTCAGTAGCTCTGCTATAAGTCTTGGTGTACAAATATTTGTTAAAGTCCTTTGATTCTTTCAAGTTTATATCTGAAAATGAAATTACTGGGTCACATGATAATTCTATGTTTATTTTTTGAGGAAATATCACACTGTTTTCACAGAAACTGTACCAGTTTACATACACACTAACAATTTATAGTATTCTAAATTTTTACATCCTTGCCAATATTTGGTATCTTGAAAGATTTTTGTGAGATTTTTTGTAGTTTTCTTTTGCTTTTCTGTGTGTTTTCTTTCTTTTCTTCTTTTTTTTTTTCCTTTGGTTTGTTTTGGGGTTTTTTTGTTGTTGTTTATTTGTTTGTTTGTTTGCGCTTTGTTTCCTTTTCTGGCTATGAAATATTATCTCATTGTGGTTGACAAAAAATCAGTTGGGGTGGGACTGAACCTTGGGCCTTAACATATGCATGCTGAGCACAGTCACTGTATCCTTAATGCTCCTACTGCTTTTTAAAAATATGATGTCTCTTTTGAGCTTGAAAATATCTGACTTACCATTTATTAAAGGAATCAGAACAATGAAAAAAGCCCTGTAAATCTATAAGTTAGGAGTCATCTTAATCCTTTTAAAGAGGTACAAATAAGAGAATATTTAACGTTCTACAACTTTTTTGAGTTTTCTGTTTTAGAAAAAAGTGGCATTTCATCTTGGCTAAAATCTCAGATTTGAATTATAAATTTATTCTAAGTGATTTACCTTTAATAATTTTTTGCATATCATAATTTTTAGCCATTATAGTTCAGTGTCTATTTCAATCTTTTGTGCAGTATACTTTGTTCATATAGTATTATATTCTTTGCTGATTGCACTGTATAGTATAGTATTATAGTTTTATGTTCTGTTATACATTACAATATAGCATGTAAGAGTTATGTAAATAGAAACAAACTCATCAAGTTTGAATTTCCTTTGACCATTTCTTTCTTCTGAATATTGTAATGTACATAATATATGCGATTCCTCTTTTAGCCACCAATGCATTAATGATCCAGTTGCAGAACCCTAACTTAGTCATTGAACAAGCGTAGTGTACTAACGGAAGCTTCCAGTGATACTTATCAATGGTTGGATATATACTAGGAAAATCCATAGAAAAACAGGCTATGAGTGTTAAACTAGTCGTTTTTCAGAACTGACTAAATATACAGGAGTCCAAATAGTTGTTGGTCACATAATTTCTGCAAACATTCCCGTTGTTTCTATTCTGCAATAAACATGAGCATTTCTTTTCCCATGCAGAAGTCATAAGGAAGGTGGCATTCATCAGTGAGGGAGGACCACTGACTGTCCAGATCACAGCATTTCACATGACCCCACACACAGGACAGCAGCAGTGTCCTGCCAAAGTATAACCCATGGGGAATAGGTCTTGGAGGTTGTTTGGAAATGGCTGCTGTGAGAGAGAAACATATTTCCTTTCCTGAAGACTAATTTAGCTGGAAAAAAAGAAGATAGGCAGAATGTGAGTTTCCTGTAGCTTCCTGTATTGTGTAATTTCATTATTAGACATAAACAAACTTGCTCTGAATCACTTACATTAGTCAACTGAGATATTTACTTTTGTGTAAAATGTGACCTTCAAGCTAATTATAGCACAATAAAAACTCTTAAAATACTTCTCCAAATGTCCCATCACATTCAGTCCCATCATCAGATCCTACAATAGAGATTGGTGTCTTTAATTTTAAAGTTCCACAACATCCATATGTAACCAGCACTGCAAAATGGAACTGTGAAAGTTAAATTTTTTTCCTTTGGAGTCAAGTGGCTTCCAGATTTCCTCAGGTGTAGGGCATAATGTCTCCCTCATATCCCCTCTGCCCAGATCTTGACATCTGGCATTCCCTTCGGTAAGGGTGAAGGAAGTCTGATTTTAGGAAAGGATGTAGCTGTTAGTTTTCTGGTGCAATAGAGAAGAAAAAAGTAAAAAGAAAAGAAAAGAACAGGTTTATGGAGGACGTGGAAAGGAGCACACAACCATGACAGTTGGGCTATCTCCATCGACCTGATACAGAGAGGCAGAGGGGACCCCTGATCAGAAGTCAGGCATGGAGAGGACATTAATGATGCGTGAGGAAATTATTGGAATTTTCTTTGTGCCCAAAAAGGAAAGGGAGTTGCAGTTAGGGATGAAGGAGAAAGAAGTGGTAAGCGTTTCTACTTTGGCCTTCCGTCATGTTAGAACACCGCCATAATTGTACAGTAATTTATACTAGGGCAGGAACCTTTCAGTAACTCACCTGAAAATGTGTATGGTTCCAGTGTAGGCCCTCCCACACTGTTCTTTATTATAAAAGACCCCAACAGACCTGAACTTAGTGAGCTGGTGATCAAGAGTTATATGCTATTCTGTCTCCTTGGAGTCATCTTTAAATAAATCCTTCTTACCCAATATGTGGCCTACCTTAATCTGATGAAGGTTGAACAAAGGAGCTTGAGCCTAAGTGGCTCACTCCTGTAACCACCCAGGATGCTCTCAGGATTTTGGAGAAATTATCTTTTGCCTATATAAACTTAGAAGTTGACCTGTCGTGCATCCCTTCTGATCATTTAAAGTTAAAACAATATATACGGTATTCACCCAGGAACACCAGCTGGTTCGTTCTACAACTCATATGCATTTACTGGTAGAAATAGATTTACATGAAAAATATTTTTTCCTTTAAGTCCACACCAGGGAGAACAACACACAGTGAGATTGAGAAAACAAAATTTAATGCTGAAATTCTCTGTCTTTTGCTTTATTTTAAGTCCTTTTTGGAGCTCGTTAGCCACTTAATTCTTTTAAATCTTGTCTTAGTTGCTTTTCTCTCACTGTTGGGATAAAACACCCAACATCCAAAACGAAGGAAAGAAAGGTTTATGTAGCTTACAGTTTTTGGAGGTCTCAGTCTCTGATCAGCTGGCTCCAAGACAGGGTGGCACGGCATAGGATGGGCACTTCAAGGCACTTTTTCAGTTAACACGATGTGTCAACCATAACAAGTCCTATACTCAATTATTGAAAACCCAAATATGGAGTTCAGTCATCCAAGTATTGTAATCCTCTTTCTAGTTTTCCTCACAATCCAAAAAGTTGTATTTGTAGTCCCATTAAGATGTTATTGGAATCCCAGCAAGTTAATTCCAATCTACCACCACCAGAGCAACCCATAGTGAGAGTAAAGACACCAAGACATGTTCCAAGTTAAGGGCAGCCAAGGGGTCCTGAGTCCAATCCTTGTGAGGGCATGAGGACAAAGGCCTCGATCCTAGGTCTGTCCCAGAATTTATTATCTTGTGAAGAAGGTGGGGGTGACTCAGGGATGAGTGATAGTGAAGATGAGGGGAATTCTGTAACTTGAGCTGGCTGGCCAGGTGCAAGATTGGCATCTCTGTAAATTGCAGAGATAAAGATATGCAGAAGGATCAATTTACATAATCCAATTAAGGTAATAATGGAATTATTTTGGGGGGCTGTCACTTCCATTTTTGATATACAAACTCTTGTGCCCTGGAGAGTCATAGCGTTTTTATCTTGAGGCTCTTACCCAGCTGACATTCCTGGAGCTATTTGCTCTAACGTCTCCCTGCTCATGCCCTGTATATACAGAGAACAATTGTGAGGAAACAGGACTGTCTGTTGGCTTTAGAAATTACACACCATCACCTCCATTAGCCTTATTTGCAATGCTTAGAGCCAATTGAAGAGGGAAGGAAATACCCTAGCCAGCTTTTTACATATCAGTATTAGGAAATGAGTCTTCAGATAATCAAAGTCACAGTAACTGTTTTATGTTCAAAACGAGTCACTGCAGTTGTACCCTACACTCAGTTTTCTTCTCCTCTTCTCAAAAACAAAATCTGTTGACAGGTGACATCAAATGAAGAAATGCTACTTTCTAACAGAACTGGCCTTGGGCCACTTTTCTAATAGCCTCTATCAAAGGCATACCTTGTGGATTCTCGTCAGTATTGTGCAATGGGTCAAACAGCTGTTTTTCTCTTATCTCCACTGAGAACAGGTTTCTGGATTTAGGGTAAAAATTGGACTTTACATTTTGTTTAAATGTGATGTTTAGAGATGATATCAAAGAGATTTGGGTGTTTGTTTGTTTGCTTGCTTGTTTTCTGATACAGAGTCTCACAGTGTAGTTCAGGCTGGCCTTGAACTCACTGTGAATCCCAGCCTGGCCTCAAACTCGCAAAGTGATCCTTCTGCCTCAGTCTCCTGAGTGCTAGGATTACATGATGGCATGCACCATCATGCCCAGCTATACCAGAGAGATTTGGAATCAGAAGTCTCCTAGGAAACCAACATTTTGCATTTACAGGTGTCACAGAACACTGGGAGCTCTTCCCTCTGGGAGATTTCTCAGCAAGGGATCAGATCTCTTGTGATAAGAAAGAGCCCATTGAAGCTATCATATTCTATACATCCAGGATTCCTGAGACATTCTGTGCTCTATTAAGGAGCTTTTTGAAGGAACTAGACTATTTCTGCTCTGGATTTTCCTCGTCTCAGTTCCCAAAGAACTGCCATGATGTTTCTGATGAGACTTCTAAAGTGTGGACTGTGTGGTTGTGTGGGTCACATATAACTGTGGGAGAACCCGCTTCAGATTGGCCCATTGGCCAGCATATTAATTAGGACATTGGTCTCTTACTATAATCCTGCAGCTGTGTTCCACGGGCAGCCCTCATCAACAGCTGACCCTATTACTGGGTCCTGAAGTATCAGGAACTCTTTCAAGAGATTCTTTCTAGCTTCTTCTTGTCCTCAATAGAGGATTAGACAAAACAAGCACAAAAGTTGGCAAGGTGCTACAGTCCTTAAAGGTAGGAAAAGAAACATACAAAGGCCAATTTAAAGTAAAAAATGAAATATACTCTACAAAGTGAGAGTGGAGCACTGTGAAAGAAAAAGCACACTGGGCAAGAGCTCAGTGGCGGCCATTTTGTATTCTCCACTCCTCAGGCTGATCGTAGATTCAGCAATCCCATCCTACCAAAAACCTGCTTGAGCTTAAACTCAAGAAGAATCACATACAGCATTCTGTGATTGGCCTCGGGTGCAGGTTTAGGGTGCACGTCCTGGATCTTCAACGATTGGCAGGTCGCACACACTTGCTCAGCCACTTTTCTGCACTCTAATCTCCTGCCCTATTTCCTCTGGAGAGCATAAACCCCCACAATTCTTTATGAAAGCTGAAGGTGTCGAGGCTTATGTCATTATACAGCTACTTCCTCTGAAAAAAAGAGACACTGTAAGCTCTATCTTCTGGTTAGGTGCTTACCAACTACCTTGGGATGTCTGTACTTCCCTAGTTGACTTGAAAAAAAAAAAAACCCATCAGAAGTCAGTAAGAAAAGAGTTACATTTGAAGGACCACTGAGGTGACTGTTCAATGAGAGAAAGGTAGGTGAATTTGTCAGGAAAAATTGATGAATTCCCAATTTTACTATTAGGTGGGAAATGTAGAGTCCAAATATGAGATGGAACAGGTCACATTTCTCACACTTCCTTTGGGAAACGTAAGAAGGCTATTAATTTGCAAGTGCCTGAGAGTCATAGCCCTAACAAGATTTCCCTGCCCACATTTTTTATGGATCTAATTAAAAACAGAAATTCTAATATAGTGCCTATTTAAGCTTTGGTGGGTTAGGGTTATTAGTGACTCTACTTATCTGTACTCAGAGCAGAACTGTAGTCTTACATTTTGAAGAGAGACCTTAGGTTTTAAAGAGGTTTGGAGGAGTAGATTCTTAGTTTTATGATTTTCAGGGTCACTCATGATTTCTGCCAGGGCCATGGTAGGTTGCCTTGTGTACCTTCAGTCTTCATCAGAGTGGGAGATGAGGGTTTTGGCATACACATCCCCCAGAGAGATAGATGGGGCTCATTAGGAGACTGTTGTGAGCACCATAAGAAAGCTTCCTGAGTTCCCCAACTTCTGTTAAACTTTATGACCTCATTCCCTGCTTCTATCCAACAATCAATGCTAGAAAAACAAGTTAAAGAACTTGAGTCCTCCAACAGAGGAAAGCCCATCCTGAGGGAGAAGGAACAGGGGAAGTGGAGGTATTCCTATGGAAGCAGGAGAGGGAAGAAAACAAAGCAGAAGGGAAAAGTACCCTTTACTAGAAGAGAGCAAAGGACTGGGAGAGAGTATAGTGGACAAGAACTTAATGGTGGTCATCTTTTGTATCTCCTACTACTCAGCCAGTGTCAGATCTAGGCTGTCCTATCAAAAGCCTGCTGAGTTCTCACAAGCTCTCTGATTGGTCCCAGGTGCGAGGCTGGGGACATCTGTGAATGACAGGTCACATCTACTTGCCTGGCCAATTTTTCATGTCCAGATCTTCTGCCTCTGTGCAATCATCAAAAGTTAAACTGTTCAAAGTTTGCCATACCACATCAGTCATCAGCTGATGTTACCCCCAGCAGAGTACTTGTTTTGTTTTAAATGTTATTTTCTAGAGACAGTAATTCTAGGAGATCGGTCATTTTGGTTATGCAAACAATATGAGTCTGAATTCCAGCTCAACGCATTTTAATCATGACATGGATTAAGTCTGCAAAGGTAAATGTTGTGATACCTGTTTTCCAGAACTAGAAACCGAAGTCCGGAGAATTCAAATACAGATGCTATAACTGTCATTGCAAAACAGAATTTTGAAAGTTAGGCTTTTTTCTTTTAAAGATAAGCAACTTCTCCAAAGTTTCTCCCAAGGAGCACATATTCAAAACGCGCTCTGCTCCTCAGTCCAAAAGAAATGAGAGAACATACAGATGCCCAAGAGGTAGGCCTGGAGTTGAGTTTCCTTCCCACACGCAAAGAGGCAGTGAGCTGATGGTGGCTGAAAGTGATGAAGCAGGAATGGGGAGCTACATCCTCTCTCTGTGCTCCCTCTCCCCCTGAGCTATTGGGCTCCTCCATCTCTTTGGAGCCAGTTTTGGAAAAAATCCTTTTTCCTTTTTACTTAAATAGTCTAATTTGATTTGGTCAGGGGCCAGCAAAAGAGTCTGAGCCTTTGAACCTAAGTGGCCGGTAACAATGTCACTTTATCATATACTTCAAAAGTTGTGTTTTTACTTCCCTGGGGTTGGAATGTTCCACTTGTTCAGATTAACATCTGTGATAAACCCACACTTACCTCTTTACTGGTGGCCATCTTAATAATTAAGTAGTTCTGTATCTTGAGGCATTCCTGACCATAAAAGAGAAGGAAAATGATCTGAATAACCTCAAACAAGATTTTCAGGTTCAGTTTTATCTATACTGTTGCTTTCTAATAGAAATTAAAAGTACATTCAATTTTCAAGGACAGTTATCATTAGTGGCTAATGTGGAGATTATTTGAGGAATTTTAAAATGCATGGAAAGACTTGAACTTTCACGAGTAAGGAGACCCAGACAAAATTTTCTCCTAGTCATCTCAGGAAATCTTGAGTAGTAAACATGAATAGGCCTTTTAGATTGTGATCTGCTCTCCACTTCCTGAAAAAAAAAGAACAAAACATAAATTGCCTGAAGACCAGACAGTCCCTCCAACCAGTAGTTCATGCATAACAAGATGTGTGCATGGGACAAAATGGGATTAGTCACTTGGCAAGACCCCAGCTTCTTCACTTGACCGATCCCAGGTTAGGTCAAAACCAATCAAGAGTGGGTTGAGGAGACATACTACTTATGCTCGACTGTTTGAGTGTTTTGGCCTGTTCTACACATCGTATTTGTATGACTGTGGACAAAAATGAGCTAGGAAACATTATTTAAAAGGACTGGGGGAGGGAGAATTATTACAGCCTGATAAATGTTCCCACAACCAAAATAAATGTTCCTTGGAAATTATAGCACAGGAACAAGTAGAAGAGAAGATTAATCTGGATAATGAATGTTGTGGAGGAAGCAAATTTCATATTTTTTAGATCTGGAAACCAGATTGGTTCAGCGTGTTTGTTATTGGAGAGACTCACATCCTTGCTTAATAAATCTTGTTTGTGAGAACCATAGATGGAAATCTCTTCTATATTGTCTGCCCAAAAAATCTTATCTGAAATTTAGTGGCCAGGGTGTCTCAGAATACAGAATTTTTCAAATTGAAAAGGCAACATTGGCAGGGTCTAGAACAATACTCCATCACCAAAATATTAATATTTATACCAAAGGGATGTATAAATACGGTGAATAGACTCTCACTAGTGCAGATAGGGTTTTGCTGCCAAATGAGTTCAGGTCATATCGGGTCAGATTTTACCACCAGATGAGCGAAGAAAATCTTCCATTTTCCAGAACATTTAGAATTTTAGAAATAGAACTATGGATTTATGAACTTGTACAAATGGAAACTTCTACTCGATCATTCTACAAAACAGAAGCATCGGCTGATTTACAGAAAAATGGAGACCTTTGAATTTGCAGAAGGTGCCTAGAATTGTTTGCAGATAATAATAATGTTTAACATTTCTTGAAAAATTAGTATGAGCCAAACACTAATGGAAGATTTTTGACATAAACTGATTATCTTAAGCATTGAGATGCTAATGTGAAGATTTTTGACATGAAGTAACCATCTTAAGCGTTGACTCACAGCATGGAGAAACTTTACTGATATATTTAGAGCTGTACTGGCAAAAGAAATGGACACAGAAAGTTTAAAAGTTCTGTAAAGCTCACACAGCAAGTAATTAGAAAGGGCTATGTTTGAACTCAATTTTGTCCTTCCTATAAATGGTAAATGGTAATGTTATAATTTTATACTGACACAAGAAAAATGGCACTAATATATCAATCTGTTCATGTTCTTGATAATAAGAAATTAAAAGGTGTGTTTTAAAGTTACTATAATACTTTCCAAAGCTCTTATTTTCATCCTGTTGTGTTTGAGAACTCCTGTAACCTTTTTGTTTTGAAATTAAGCCAATTAACAGGAAAGCTTGAGTAACAGAAAAAGAATTGAATATTTATATTTTTTCTCTGATTCTAGGGGCTAGTTTTAGTCGTTATTTTATCCTCCATGTCTAACTTAGAGATTTGTGACAATACATGCATTTAAATGAATAAAAACCAAATTTCCAAAACCTCCCAAAATACAGGAGTCTCATTCAGAAACTTGGACTCATATTGGTTCATTCATTTACACTTTTTTCTTGGTTGATGACCAATCCATTAGAATTTTTCATTAATCAAACTGTGATGTTGGTCATCTTAAGCACTGAGACACTAATGTAAGAGTTTTGACATGAACAAATCATCTTAAGCATTGACTCACAGCATTGAGAAACTTTACTAATATTTTCATAGCTATATTGACAAAAGAAATTTTATATGAATCTGTGGCTTTGAGGAGAGAGGGGATGAGAAGAACACAGTTTTGCATCTGACTGAATACATTATTTGGGTTGATCGCTCCTAATTCGGAACCATGCTTCCCCCTAAGCATACTCACAATGCATATAACCGTGTGTCATACATCCAGGCTGGACCAGGCTTTACTCCAAGAGCACTTGCAAAACGATGTTGCCGGGTAAGAGGCTTCCTCCTGGTTCCCATACCTATCACTAAATACATCTAAAGGCTTGTTTGACTCAGAGCTATGTAAAAATAAAGACTGAGAATATCTGAAAACATACTACAGGACAAATAAGACACAGTTTTCTAAAGTTAACTTGAGAAAATGATGTAGTTCCAACATTAACTTCCAATATTTATTAACTAAGGGCTTGAATACTAGAGAAAAAAACCCTCTCTAACGCCATCCATCTAACGCCATGTCGTGGTTTTACAGGAGTCACTGTCCTGTCCTGTAGCCTGCAGTGTCCCAAATTTACATTGTGTATGATGGAGCCACTCTGTTTTAGCAAGCCTTTTTTACTCAAAGCAGAATCTCAGCTCTCCCCATCTGCAGCTGTCCCTCAGAGCACAGAGCTTCTCCAGCAGATTCTACTTTACCAATCTATAGGGCATCATTTGCAAAAGTCCTAAGTGACCGCTTATTCCTGTAACTCGGGAGAGGGGTCTTCTGTGCTGCCCTCCTCCCTCCTGGCCCTTCCCCTCCCCTTCACGCTGCTCTTCTCTTCCCTCCTATTTCCTTCCCTTCCTCGCTTCTCTTCCTCCTGTATGACACTCACAAGTTGTATTATTTTAACCAAGTGCAACTTTCAGGTGGGATAAGACCACACAAATGCTTCCTTGTTGAGTAGATGCCCCTTTCTTCTGTTACTTTATATGTCGCACTCTCATATTTCCTTTCTGGATTTTTTTGGGCCACATAGACCTGTGTCTACACATTCAGAAGTATGCGTACACCTGCCTCTTACCTAAGAAGAGATGAGGAGTTCAGAATTCAAGCAAGTCTGCAGCAGACAGCAGCTGGTGGCTTCTAATTCAAATCAGTTTTGAGGCGAATTCCACCAATTGAGTGTTCAGTTCCCAGATCTGCCCCTCCCGTGTATTTCAGGTACCAATAACAAGCCCAGGTTGCTTTACCTGTGCTTCTGAACAACTGGCTATAAGTAGGGTTCCCATAACCCTTACATCTAGATGTTCCCCCAAGCTTCTTGTGCTCACAGGTGGGACTTTGGGAGGTAATTGGATCATGGGAGCATGATACTTACTGGTGGATTAATCCACTCATGAATTTCAGCTAAATGTGAAGTTGGGAGTGGCTCTTAGAGAGCATGGCCTGGAAAGCCTGTACCTCCCTCCCATCTCCCTAGATCACCCTCTGTCTCCCCACCGCCTGGCCATGAAGGCATATCTTCACCCCCACGCTCTTGTGTCATCCCTTCCTGCCTTGAATCCTGCTGGCTGTTAGCTGAAACTTCTACAAGCAATGAGCCAAACAAACCTCTCCTTCTTTAACTTGCAAATGTTTAGTATTTTTGTCCCAACATCGAGAAAAGTAACTAAGACACTCTCCTTGGGTTCAGTTATTTTGCTCAAATGGTTCACAGACCTTAGGGAAATAATTACAGTTTATTAGTAAGGATATTACAAAGGGTACAGATGAAGAGATTAGTGTAGGGTAAACTAGGAGAGCAGGACACTGAGCTCCCAGGTCCTCTCCAGGGGACACCCTCCAGCACTTCCACGTGTCCAGGATACAGAACCTCACCCAACATTACCCTTTGGAGTTGCATAGAAAATGCATTGCTTGGGAAATCTTATTAGAGAAAAAAAGGGTCCAATTTGATGCTGATAGTCTGAGTGGGGAAACCCAGTAAGGCCTGTCTGTCTGGATTCTTCACATTCCTTCTTCATTGAGTAGGGTATTACCCCTTCTGAAGGGTGGGTAGGGTCTTATCACTAATATCACAAAGGCAAGCAAGGAATTTCTTTATGACCAAGAGCTCCAAATCAGGATTTCAATGATTTGTCTCAGGAAGAAAAATTCCAGTTTCTCTGTTCTGCCCAGGGGAGGGTACTATCATTCAGGAAATGTGCACAAAAATTAGAAGTCTACATATCATGATGTCACAAAGCTCCAAGTTCACTTGTACAATTCTTTGGTTTCTCATCAATAAGGTTTAAAATTTTCAGAAGCTGAACAAGCTAAAGTCCTGTTAATTTATTTCTACCCACTTTTAGTTCCTTTGGACTTTGCTTTCTAAGAGAGGACTGACAAATAGTTTTGGTGTCTAGTAACACCATGAGAGTGGGTACTAAATAAGCCATTCGCTCCAAATCATCCACCTGATGGAGAAGCAGAGCCATAATCACAATCATGGCCTCTGAACTTGCTTAACAAATATGGCATGGACTGGTGTCCACTGTGGGAAACATAAATGCAAAGGAAGACATAAGGAGCTGAAATGTCAACTCAAAAATGAATGACACAATACATTTGGACATGTGAAGTGTCCAAATAGTTTAAAACATTCCCAGAAGTTCAAAAATCCCTAACATATTCCTACAAGTCTACAATTTGGGTCAATATTTATTGATTATGTAAATTATTATTATTTGTGCTCTTGAGAATTGAATAAGTCCAAGCATATTACCACTGAGTTACTGCCTCCAATCCAGCTTTTACATCATGAATAGAGAGACTGATACACAGGAAGCTGATTTGCCCCAAATTTTAAGAAATCATTGTGGGGTGCACCCATGTGAGTGTAAGACCCTTTCTCCATACTTCCCTCCGAAGCTGCTTTTCCTCCTTGTATTTCTTAATGTATGAATAATGATTCACAATTCCCTATTCTGGCCTTTAGATCCTATTAAGTTGTTCAAGGGTACATTTTAGAATATATAAGTAATATTTTAACTTCATGATGTATACGGTAATCATGCTAAAAATGCTGACATGTTAGCATTACATACTGTTGAATACTAAAAAGTATTTTTAAAACTCTCTTCAAATGGTGTCAAAGTCTTTGAAAGTAATTGTTAGTTTTGTTTTGCTTTGTTTTGAGACAAAGTCTCTTTGTGTAGTTCAGGCTGGCCTCAAACTCTTGGCAATCCCCTGCCACCGCCCCTGGAATGCTGGGATCACAGGCCTGCTCCCGCATACCCACCTGTTAATTCTGCAACCAAAAAAATTAATTGCATATCTCCAATATCAACATGTCATAATGAGTAACTTTTTAATCTTTGTCAAAACTAGTGAATTACATCTTAAATTATTTTTATCATGTTAGAATTTCAATATTGGTGTTATTTTCACTATATGCCTTGCACGAATTTAATTTTCATTATTTGCTTTATCTTATAAACAATAATTATTCAATTTATTAAAAATATTTTTAGGAAAATGCCTGCAATATGAGACTCCTATAATAATGGGTGGGTCCTTTATTTATTCATTTATTTATCTTCCTGGTTTCATTTCTCTCAGAAAGTTACTGATATAAACTGCATTGCTGAAATGAATGACAGTGTCAGATATCTTACACATCAACTGCATAGCTCATTCCTTGATTCAGAGATGGTCTTGTAATGTAAATGAACCAATAAGATATGAGAGATAGCTGCTGTGGTTTATAGAAAAGATATGCTACCTATTTTTCTGTATTCAATTATCGGGCACCTGGCCTAGCTCTCCAATCTCCCAAATAAGTGTACAGCAAAGACTTAAAATAAATGAGATAAATGGTGTGATTTTAGGGCTCCAGGAGAATCAAAACCCTCTGCAGAGTTCAAGACTCTGGGGACTGAGATGAGAAGTGTCTCTGGGTGGCCCATATTTATTTAGTTTTCAAACAAGGAAGGGATTAAAGTTAAAAACACAGGAAGCTGAACAGACCTTAGGAGTGGTTCAAGGACTTTGCCAACTAACAGATTCTATTTAATTTAGGAGAAGATCTCCATATAGGAGTGAAATTCTACAGTCTTTATTTAGTTAGTTGGAGTTGGGGCCCGGCATCCTCACCTGTGATGTTACTTTGCCCTTTGAGGCTTCTCTTTGTTTTTAGGTTGACCATACCCCTGCCATGCCACAGCCCTGTACATGTGTTCAACTTCCAGTTTCAATGGCTCCCAACAGTCAATGCAGGGAGAGATTCTCTTTGACACCAGATTGAAAGAGGGTTGGCTCTAGGAGACAGTAGCAGGCATTAAGTCTTCAAGAATAGTAGCAGGCTTCAGAATAAGTTGATACTCTAAATTTAGAGCAGAGAGACCAAGAAAAGCCAAATCTTCAATTACGCTGTTGAGGACATTACATCCATTCTCACCTGAAGCCAGCAATATCTCTGAAGCCTGTGAATTCTCTTTGTTGCTTAAGCAAGTTACACTTGGGCTTTCAGATTGTTTGAACAAAAATAGCACTGAATGATACCCTATTATTGGCCTAGTGTAACAAAGGTTTTGTGCAATGGTAAACAATATTAGTCATCTACACAGAAGCTGCCATTTTTCATCCTTGTTTAAGAGAACCTGATTTTATCTATAATCTAGGCAAATGATCAGTTTCAGGGATTTTTGTTCATATATCCCAAGATGCTAGTGTCCATTAGTTTTAACCAATCATCCGCTTATTTCTTCATTTGCAAAATGCCTTTAACAATACAATGTAATCATAAGGGTGTACATAGAAGAGACAAGAGGGAAGGAGAAGGAAAGAATACAAGATTTCTGTTACAAATATTATGGAAGGCTTCCCAATTCTTAAAAAGGGGAGGCAAGACAGGATTTCCTTTTTTTCTTGCAATTTTAGTAATGCCCCACGAAGAATGAAGTCACCTTGGAAATAAAAGGGGGAAATAAGAGAATCCAAGAAAAAATGACTGGCTAACTTGAGCCACAAAATGAACTGGTTCTGGGATGGCCCACACTTTCCCCACGTGCAGTAACAAACTCCCTTTGTCTGCACTGCTGATATGGGTTCTCTTGTTGGAAGCTGAATCACCCTGATAGATTTACCCACAACAATACTGATCCTTTGAGGCTAATTCCCAGCTCTCAAAGATCAATGTATAAAACTGCATAAAGCCAACTTGAGTCCCAAAGAGAAACAAACACCTCTATAATTTTGGCATATTTTGTGTCCTTGTAAAGCATGATTTAAATAGTTTCAGCAAGTGAGGTAACCAATCAGTACATATGTGGATCATATTCAAGGAGTTTATATCCTTTAAGTCTGAGATAAAGAGGAAGTCGGCCTGCTGACGATGACTTTGTGCCCCAAGTCTTTGTTTGTTCAGGTGGTTAGAACCAGGAGACATGGGAAGGTCACTTTGGAAAGTGGCCAGAACAAACACCCAGTCTTAATGGCAACCTTACTGCCATTCCTAGGATATTCAGTATTTGCTAGTTCAGAAATTAGTAATAAATGCAGGGAAAAAAGAAGCATGACACTTGCCTGGTAATTTTAAAGTCAGGACTACTCCGCACACAGCTGTGTAGTGCTGGCCATCACAGCTGGGTTAGCAGGAGAAGCCAATGGAACAACTCCTGAACCCAGGTGGAAGCCCAACAGCAGAGAAGTGGGGCTGGGCTACTGAGGTTCACACGCTCAGGTTCATCTGCCCCCCACTGGCCAAATCAAAGGAGGACACATGTTTGGGGGAAAGGAGAAAGGATTTATTCAAAGGTAGCTCTGAGCAGGTAAAGCAGCCTATTTCCCTTAAATCATCAGCTCGCCATGTGCAGGTCCCTTGGGCTCTTTTATCACAAAGAATCTTGGAGGAGAAAAATACATTGGGAAAGCAGACATTTTTAAGGCAATTCTGTCCCTTCCTAGACCCAGACCTGACTCTCTCTTGCCTAAGGCAATGAAATTGGGCCTGAGCCTCTCCTTGCCTTGCATATTCTGACCATTCGTCTTGGTGTAGGAGGAACAGGAGTCATTTATGCCGTAGGCTTGAGGAAGTTTGGAAGCCTCTGGATTCCAAAAGAAAAGGCTCTTCTAACTTTTAAGCTCCATTTTGCTGTGCCTGGCACTATCCCCCTTGCTTATTTCAGCCTTCAATCTTGAGAGCCTTGAGGTGCCAGCCCACCGGCCTGTCTCCTTCATTTTGGGTTGGTGGGGAGATCTCATCAAAGCGAGCTGGAGCACAAGCAGAGGGAAGCCAGAAGCTTGAGCCTGAAAAAGTTACCACGAAAAATTGTAAAAGCAGATACAAAAGAAAGCCAAACTCAGGCAATATCCAACAGTTCCACTCCCTAGAAACACTTTCTTACTTTTAGGTAATAAGAACTCTCTCACAACCTCTGCAGCTCTACTTATGCTGGCAGGGTGACACATAGGTGGTCTTGGATGCTTGCAACTGTCCTCTCTGTCCTATCCACAGCCTGTCCCTGAGAGTGAAGCAGGTTTTCCTGTTGACAGTCCCATGTTAGAGGGAATGTTACAGGATTAAAGTCAGTATCATAACCCCTCTTGCCAACTTTAAGCCATGTCAGAGATTCAGCTTACCTGAGTCTGCTGTCAAGTTTAATCCTGTCTTAGTGAGCAGTCAGCACCCTAAAACATTAGAACTTCGACAGATAGTTACAAGGCATACAGTCAGACATAAAGCAAGCCAAGAGGAGCAAAAGCAAATCCAGTCTGTATGGTAGACTTGAACTGAGAAACACAGTAACTAAGTTAACTTTAAAAACAATTTCTGTGCAGCAAGCTCAGCTCTGCCAGAAAGGAGCTGCGATGAATGGCACTAGGACCAAAGAGCAGCAGAGACCTTCTGGCTTGAGTGAGGGCAACACGGCATGGAATTTACTGTGTCTGAGTGCAGGCAGGAAGCGGGGGACAGAGAGAAGTGGGCCCCTTTTACAGGGATGGAGAGAAGGCAGAGGACAGTGGGCGGAAAGATTTTAATGAACAGCTGTGAGATTTCTCTGGCTGTTTTATGCCTCAGTGGACAAAGTCCTTGAAGTGTCTGGTGTAAATTTTCTTATCTCCTGCCCTATCTTATCTATGGGTGACAGCCTGGTGCTGAGCTGAGTCCCCCACTAAAAACAGGACCTCTGCTGGCTAGCAGTTTGGGGCTGGGGAAGTCAGGTCAGAATGAGCCTTACAGGCACATGGAGTAAATACTTGAGGCTCCTCTGTCTTTGTAAACAACATGAGTTACCATTTTGGAGAAAGCAAACACTTTACTAAGCTAAGACCAAGAATTATAGTTTGCTACGGTAACACTTTCAGGACTTCACGGTCAGGCATACAGAATTATAAATAACTTTGGATGCAGAGTGTAAAAATTAATGTCTATTTTGTCAACTAAGAACATCCATTTTTGAGCAAGCATTATCTCTTACTAACCAGCCGGAACCTGGCTTTTGCTGGTTGTGTGACTAAGAGCAATACCCAGGTAATAATTGAACAAAAAGTTATTTACTTCTATAGCACAGTAAGGCAACAATCATGACTGACTGCATTATACCAGGACAATTTTAAAAATAAGGAAAAACATTTAATAGTAATTTACAGCCCCAAAAAAGCTTCAAACAGATATCTAAGTAAACATGAACATTGTGACTTATTTTTTCTAAAAATTTAATACTCACAAGACAGTAGAGAACATAAATTATTTTGACAAATTTAAAATATTTTTTTCAAAGTTCTGCTGTAAATTTTACTAAGAAATGATTAATATTCTAAACTTTTTTGTGGCATACAAATATACTAACATCATCCCTGTGGGTGACATTTTTAATTTTTGAAATATTTTTCTTAGAACATACTGTCTAACATATATGATCAAATTACAACAAAACTCTTATAAACAGATGCCACCCACACATAATTATCAATCATTTTAAAATTTATGTTATTAATTCATATCTGTGTCCCAAATTATATAATATATACATGTAAGCACTGTTTTCCTCAAAAAATTTTTGTTTCTGAAATTTACAGGCCTTTTTGTGAAAGTAGTGATTTTAAAAATTTAAAAACTCATTTTAAAGTATTTAATTTAAATAAAAACTTAACAGTAAAATAATAGTCCTCTATTACAGAGAACTAAGTGAGTCTTTTAGCACTGCCATATAAACAAACCCACTCACACACCAGATAGGTCGTACAAAAGAGTTTCTTAAAACTAACTGTTACTAGAATATTAAATGGATTGTGCATATGCAAATTATGAATTTTAGGATGTTTTACAATGTATAGATATAACCTTCAATCATGGAGACTTATTAATTAAAGCTCATTTTTAACTTGACCCATAGTTTGACAAGTGTTTTGATATATTATCATCCTTCTAGAATAATTATTTAAACTTATTAAAAATTAGATATCTTTTGATGTTATAGACTCAAATATATTTTAGGGAAATAATAAATGAATTTATATTTAGCAAGTATACATAGTATTTTAACTATTTATTATAAATAACTCGTGTTTCATTTATATACCCATCTAATTTAAGTTTTAGTAGTTACCTCTACATATCCCACAAAATGTAAAACTCTGGCAAACAAAAATTAATGTTCCAAAACTATTTTTTATTGAGGGAAGTAACTCTTAAAAGTTTTAGTCCATACTTGGAAATTACATCTATACATGCTACAACAGAATGGTATTTTAAAAACTTTGAAAGGTTTTCTGAAGCTTTTGAATTTGAATATTTAACATTGACTCCAATGAAATTTTTAACCAAAATTTTGTCATCCAAAAACGAACTTCCTGGATAGTCCATAGATCAATAAATGAATCCACTTGGAAGACTATAAAAGGAAATTTTCTACTCATGAACATTTGAAACGGCAAAGCTCAGAAGATCTAGAAAGATCCACGAACCACAGGGAGAAATAGTCACCCTACTTTAGCACCTTCTGGCTTTATCATTCTAAAACTGTGCAAATTGGTACCCATGCAAAGATGCAGTCAGCTCTTTCAGGAAATTGTGAACAATTACAGCATGACTGGCAATATTTACTCAGACCCAAGTCAATGCATGAGACAAAGCTGTCTTCCTTCTTGTAAACTTAGTAAGAAAGCTCTCAAATAGCCTTTTCTTAGATAATGTCTAATAAGTATAAATTTTAACTGCCCCCACTTCTCTACTCTAGCAAGCCTAGGTAATGTTTCTTATCCACATCAAATTCTGTTGAATACAATAATGAAGAGGAAGCCACCAGCCTTGGGAAAGGACTCTTGTTAAGAAAGAGCTCTGAGATCACTTACAAGGGAACACCCATCAGAATTACAGCAGACTTCTCGGCACAAACCATCAAATCATGAAGAGCGTGGGGGGAAATAATTCAAGCTTTGAAAGATAACAACCTCCAGCCAAGATTGATATATCCTGCACAATTGTCCCTAGAAATTGATGGAAAAACAAGGTGCTTCCAGGATAAAGAGGAACTAGGGGAATTTACAACCACCAATTCAACTCTACAGAGAATACTGCAGGATATTCTAAAAAAGGAAAATACCAAGATTCCAGAAATAGTGGCAGAGAGGCCACAATGAATGGAGCAGAAAGAGAAATGAAGAAGACAAACTGACAACAAACGACAGAAAAAGAGCTCAACAGAAATGAGGCAGAGAAGATTGGATATAGGAACAGCTATTTTGGAGAAAACAAGACATCATAGTAGCTAGTGCTGATTTAGTATCATCTTGTTTTGAAGTCCCATCAAACTTGTATTCTTCTGTCTCCATCAGTCTTAACAAGTTGTGTCTTACTGGATTTTATTATATGAGATAATATAAGCAAAAACTTTTATAGACAAGGAGATTATACAGAAACCATTGTTCATTTTCTGTTAGTTGGTTCTAAATACCCTGTAACACTGTCATTCCCTTGAATGGTTTTACATTGTCTTGATATGTTTGGTGCTACAGTATACGAAGTTATACTCAAAGATTTCAAGGAAAGAGACATTATGGTAACTTCTTTTATGTCGGGTTGTCTTGTGGTAAAACACTATTTTGTTTAAATACTTATGCTTTGACCTGCAAAAAAAAGAAAAACGAAAGAAAGAAAGAAAGAGTTCTGAAGGCACTCTGGAACAAACCAGTCCTGAAACTGACACAGCTGTGACAGGAAAGCCACCATAGGTAAATAAGTAGACTTGGGTACTCATAAAAAGCATGACTTGTGGTGTTTTTTTCTGTCATAAATTTAAAAGACGTTTTTGCTATAAACCATTTCACAAAATACTATCTGTTGAGACCCCTTAGACTATGCTTGAAGGAGACTTTAATTGAATTATTTCTGTATAACATTTGAGACAATAAATAATTTAAAATTTTAAGAATACCCAGTAGGCACTGTATTAATACATGTGCCACATTTTCTAAATGTTCAACTGACCCTGGTTGCTAAGTTTAAGATCCTAACAAATTCAAAAAATTTAATTACATTCCCTTTATGCTTTTCAGTCTCTCTTACAACTTCTGTGAAAGTAAAAATACTATTCTAAAAATCAAAGAATCAAAATACAATTCTATCTGGCTAGCATAGGCAAAATGCAGTTTTGAGGACACCTTTGTTACATCTTTTAAAACATTTCCGTTAATGATGTAAACAAGAATGTATTTGAGTTTATGCTTTCTTTATTACTGAACATTCATGTTTTAAATTAGCTTGGTACCATTTAAATAATATATAAACACAAAAACACATGTAGACATAACATATAACATACACATTCATGCCAACACACATGAAACAACACACATGACACCATTATCATTTGCCAGCTTTCATGGTTACTTAAAAGTCCTCTATTGTCCTTAGAAAGTCCTTAAAAAGTCCTCTATTGGCATGATTTTCCCTTTTACAGTTTTAAGCAATATTTCATCTTAAATGTGCATGTCTGAAAGTGATATTCCTGGTTGTAGCAAGGCAAGAAATATATATCTCAAAAGACACAGCACACCTACTCTAGTTAACCTGAGTTTCAATTTCTGAAGTTTTTTATTTTTATTTTTCACTTTAATTTATTGTAGGTCTTAGTCGATTTTAAAGCTCTTGCCTCATGTTTTAGGACATGTTTCCACTGTGGTAAACTTTAGATATACCTGGGTAAAAGTTTATGCATCTTATCTTGACTGTATTGCTCAAGGCCTCTTAGTTTGAAAAAAAGAAACCGGGCTTCCTGAGAACATGGTGGACAGACAGCAGCAGCTACTGAAGGCTCTCTAAAGGCTCGGCTCAGAGGCCAGGAATGATGCGGACTAAGGAGATACGAACCAGTAGAGATATGCTCTGCTGACTCAGGAACGAACTGGGCTGAGAGAATCTAACTTAGAATACAGTCCTGGCGCTAAAATAGGAACAGAAAAATCTCGGTGTGGAGGCTCGACCCCGCGCCATTGGAAACCGCGGTTTGGATTTCCTGCCGCCCAGCGGCTGGCTGCCTCCACAGCGGCTCGGCAAGGAGAGACGCGCCGAGCTCTGGGAACGGGAGTCTGCGAACGGAGTCGGAAACAGGACGGACAAGGAGGAAAACTGACTGGTGGCGAGGTGAGCAAGAAACTGATCCCCTACCACAGTTTGACTCCAGCGGAGGTTTTTCTGGGCTCGGGCAGTCCTGTAAGAGCAGGGCGCGGTGACAACTCCAGCCGCACATTCCCCTCTCGGACGGGATTGGTGAAAGGTGCCTGGCCTGAGTGACGCTGCTGGCGGACTCCCTAGGCTGGCCTAACCCAGATCCCAAAGCCTGACGGTGGCCCGGAGGAGCGACCGACTCCCGCGTAGGCTGCCTCCTCCGCAACTCCCTGGGGCACAGCGGTGGGTGGGAACAACTAGCCAGCGCAATTTGATCAGGCTGTGGCTGACAGGCAGGGAAGCCGGGCCTCCTATGTAAGATTGCATTTTATAAGGAACAGAAAATATGGGGAAGGGAAGCAACAAAAAAGGCTCCTCGGCCCCCAATCCTGAGAAACAGGCAATAGTGGACACCGCACCAATATACATTAAGCGCCATCCAGAGAGCCTCATAGACCAATTCAGGAATGAAGTTATCAATGACCTGAAGCTAGAAGTATGCAGAATAGTTAGAGAAATGCTAAGCACCACCTAAGAAAAAGCAGATGGTGGAATGGAAGAACAGAAAAAGAGGGGAGAATTGCTTGATGGAGAAAACAGAGAAAGCATTGAGTATGTGAAGCAGGTTCAAAGAGACTATCAAGAAATTAAGAAGTCTATCCAAGACTGGCATAACAGCTTGAAAGAAACTAAGGACAGACTATCTGAATTGGAGGGCAGACTTGAAACATGGGAGAATGAAATGAAAAACTTCTTAAAAATAACAAAGAAACACACAGCAATAATACAAAGACAAGAAGATGATAAGAGGAGCCATAACTTAAGGATTAAGAACATAAAAGAAGAAGTAGGGACACAAACAAGTGAACTACAAAAGCTACTCACAGAAATAATCCAGGAGAATTTTCCTAATTTAGCAAAAGGTAA